TCAGTCATATTTAGGTATCTTGTAAACATTTCTTATATTTTTCATTGCCTTGTAATATGTTATTTGGCATATTTTTCGGATGAAAATGTTTAATGAAACATAATTGCCATGTATTTATTAAAATCTTGATCCGGTAACGGTTTTAATGCCCCACATCTGATATTAGTCCGTGTGCTTCGTTCGTCAGTGGGCTTAGTATATCACGTGAGAGAGTCGCTGCAGGAGGTATACGGGTTAACTGTGGTGTGTTATTTCACTTGTTTGTAACGGTTTACTTCTCTCCATATTTGCTTGTGTAGGGTTTTATCTAGGTGAGATCATTCTCAGGCAAGGCTTGTGTGAAACTGTTTTACTTCATGTATAGACGGTTATAATACCTGGTGTGTGTATTCAGTGCACTGACGACGGGTTCGAGGAGACGTAATGGTAACATGCAGCATTTTAATAGATAAGGTTGGACCGGACTTTACATGGCTATTTAGCCGGGCTAGGTTGCCTTGTCTTCCCGGTTATCCTTTCCCTTGATCCGCTCTTCTCCTGACCATAACCATCTTCAAACTGTTAGTTTTTAATCGGTCATTCTCTTCACTCTTCGCTGTTATCCTTCATTTTATTGACGTTCATTCCCCTTGATGTAACACTTACCCCAAACGGCTTGACTAGTTAACATAGCTTACACTGCCGGGACTGCTAGTGCAGAGAAAGTTGGCGGTAACGGGTTGATCATGATGTTTCAGGAGTTTCCTTTAAGATCTACCAAGACCTACCACTTTCTCATATCCTACCTCAACGATGGGCGAAAGAAGGAGCACTCACGGGAGATTGCAATGGTTCCAGTGCAAGTCATTCTAAATCTGAACACTCATAGGCCTCCCTGGGCAAAGGGTAATGCGCACGTCTCGTGCCCTGTAAGTGCGTGCACTGCAATATAAGTGCGCATTCCAGAAGGAAAATGATATCAATGCTCCTGAAGAGGTAGAGAATAGGAGGTTGAGGTACGAAGATCTGAGTTACTCAGGGAACGGGAACAGTGTTGTGCTGCCACAGGAAAGCTGCAAGTCACCCCTGCAACACCTGAACGCCGGAATCCCTGTTAACACTGTGCAGAAACATGTCGATGTTCGGTTAGTGCACCTTCAAAGGGGGACCGTGTACAGTGGGAAATGATACCGGGCGTATGTACCTCAGGTACATAATCACCAATCCTCGCAGTGAGGACGCACGGTGTGCATTTGCGGCTCGTCTGTTGTTGACGTCATTCACAGCCTCCCTTACTTGTAGCCTATGGTCTACCGGAAGTTGCTGATGAACGCGGATGTGTCATCCAACGCCGCTAACAAACGTGATGCCACGTATTGCCGAAGGGGGAACGGAGTGCCTGAAATGCAGCTAATGTCGGACCGTAAAACAGGTGTTCACTTAAATCCACCATAGATAGAAGCGGCAGGCAAGGTAAAGGAAAGGATAAGGTGTTCAGTCCCATGCGAAATGGTCACGCACGTATGGGTGAGGTAATTCATACTCATCCCCACGCGGCGGATCACTAAGCAACTGGGAGGTGATGTGATATGCGAAATGCAGTTTGAGCGCTAGGAATACTTGTACCATGTATGATACATCAAGCGTGGTTCTTACCTTGTCAACGAAGGTTACTCCGGTGCCTTGCAAAGCGCAATCGTTAATCCGGTTGCTTGGAAGATGGCGCTGTCATGAAGAAACTGATAAGTAAATGCGCATCCTAAAAAGGCAGCGGAATTGCGGGTGCTTATGGTGTCCTTTGGCACACCTGACCAATCCCAGTATGTGTGATCCTGTGACGTAAACGTCACGTAGGGGAGGCACCGCATGTGGGAGCAGTGTGTGTACCTAAGGATCAAGCGGAAGCAATGGATAACACGGTTATGAATGAAAGAAAAAGGTAGCAATTTGAAAAAGTAGGACTTACATACAACGATAGCAAGTGAAGTGTTCTTGTCCACTGTACGAGACGCATACCTGATGATACCAAAGGCGGCAATCGCAGCACATGACCCAGTCAACCACCTGTCCACTCTGTGCCTCGCAGTCAGTTTGGAGGCACGAAGCGCACTTGTCATTGTCGTAGTTGGCTGGGATTGGTGCATGGCTGCGACGCTTCCTTGGAGGCCTATACACCTTAGCCGTTTTCGTGTGCAAGTCTGGAAAACGCAGTGTCTTCCTTTCATGCTCCTGACTGGCTGAGGATTCTGGAATTGGTACTAAACGTTGCTTACGCCTTGTGCCTTCCGTGGTACCTTCACTCGTCCCTTCGGCAGGTGAATCCATTACGTTTGCGGTGAATGAAACCACAACCTCCTCGTGAGAGCTGCTAAGGTTCCGCAGTAAGTCACCCAAGTGATCCATAACCTCCCTATACTTCGCATCGCCCAGACTGCAAACTTGAACCTAAATATCACCCAGAACCTGGCTACATTCCCGAAGCTTTTGTTCCCCACTTACAGGTGCAACAGTGGAGCTAGACACTAGGGGGCGACGTCGGAGGACGTGGAGGCGTTAACACGCGGTTGTTGCGCGTGTAACACAACCCCCCGGTTGTTACGCAATACCTCGTCAACCGGTCTGCCTGCAGCATGCAATGCATGCACAATGTGTGCACAAGGCAGCAGCCATTGCCGGCTGAAGCTGCATTGGCAAGTTACCTCCTTACCCCTTAACACGGTGTACCTTCTACGGGTCCCTTGCACTACACATGTATCATCGGACAACTCCGTCACTGTCACCTTCTCTAGTGTGATGGCACCGCAGGCGCGTTCTTGCATACCCTGAAAACTATAACGCTGCCTGCCCTAGGCTACGCAAGCAAGAGTCCATGGGATGCTGAGACAAATCGGTTTTACCCATTACATCTTCCCACTGAGCTTGAGCATCCATCACGCGGTTAACAACCGCGGTAAACAGGTCTAATAAAGTGGTCCGCTCCGAAAGACCACTCTTCAAATGCCTATTTTCGTTCTCCACGCGGTTCGTTGTGAAACAACGAACCAACAGGTGGACGTCAAACGGTGAGCCGTCCATGATGAGACAAATGGTAACCACGTTCGTACTAAGTATCTATGCGCGTCGGCGTTTCCCTCTTTAATGGCTGTCAAATACCTGACGAACAGCCGATAGGTCCTGGCGTACACTAAGTTCCGTATGGACTGCTTAAAAACAAACCAGTCGGTTGCACTTTTTGTGGATAAACCGTTGCAACGGCGGGTGACATCCTTCAGTAGGTGTAAACGGCACAATACAATCCGCGTGCAGGGGTACACCACTTGGAATGCATGCATCTGGGCCATGCACTTATCAATCACCACCGTCCGTGCTGCCTCAGTCGCTGGTAACATAAGCCGCATGTTGCGCACGGCGTTCATGTACGCTGCCGTTGTCTCATTAGGAAGCAAGGTATAGAAAATGGAACGCCCAATACCATGCAAATCTACCAAACATGCAGTGCCACAGTATGTAGCCACCGCAGTTCATCTGGTGCGTCGCGTCTGCCAGCAATACCTCAGTATAAAGCTCCACAAGGTCACGTACGTACGTGGGAACAAGAAAGATGTAGCGTACCTCGGACTCCTCATACTCTACATTACATTGACCGGCGGTCTCCAGCAATTGTATGACAGCGTTAACCGAGTTTCCCTCTACCTTTCCGTTCATCTTATCTTTTATGCTCCGGAGGTCATAACGGTTCAACCTTCTACCGTAGTGCTTCAACGCATACCTCCGGAGCTGGCGCGTGTTCTTGAAAGACTGCATCATGCGATAGATGTCCTCTTCCGCGTGCCGCGGGAGCCGTCTGTTGGTGACATACAGAAACCGCTTACCTACATGGAAATTGTGGCTGTGCAGACGGCTGTAGGATACCATGTCGTAGTACCAGCCGTTATGCCGTACGGCTATATGTGCCTTGCAGTAGTAACTTTTGCACCTACAGTTAATAAGCGTCTCACATACATTACATGTGAACTTACCGCTGGCATGTGTATCCTCTTCGTGTACAATGCACGCATTTATAGTGTACGGATTTGTATCGCACAGCCTCAGGCAACTCTTTTCCGGTTTTACTCTTATAACCAACCGATGTCAGGACATCCGACTTGTAGAAACATAACGCATTACGCATTTGAAAGCGCTTTAAGTCACTTTCGAACTGCTCAAAAGTGCGATACACACGCTGAAGGAAGACAGCACGGAAAGCAGCGGTATCCTCGACAGCCATGACGGCGACTGATTCCGCCAACACACTTTACGGTGCATTCAAACTATCATCATACTCATATCAACCTAGGTCCGCGTTACAACCCATGGCATTTTTCTCCACATTAATACCTCTTCCATCACAATGTAATCTTTCTTTTTCCTTCACCAAGGCAAAGTAGCTTGTTGTCCGCCACCGCAACCTCCCAGTCGCCAGCTGATCACCGACCGTTGTGGAGCACGGTCTCCTGTTTTGCGTCTAACAAAATCTAGACAGGACGACGAGAAGACGAATAAAAGCTAACCCATGGCCTGTTAACGGACGCTTGTGACAACAAGCTTTTCACAATAGATAGCTTTTACGGTATAAGTTGCAGCAATCCAACGTCTTTAACGGAAATCCAAGACTGCGAATTAGTTAAATACGGCATCCATGAAATATGCGAACTAATTTTGACTTTTAGCATTACAATGCGCTCACTGTGCAATATGGGACATATGGGTGTGGAGCTTTCTTTGTCTAGTTAATTTACCAAATTTACAGCATTTGGTTAACCCTAATGCCAAGCATTCGAAGCGGCGGCAAACGGTTGATAGCTTTTAGCACACTACAACACAGTTTTAAGGTTTCACCGGATTAGAATGTCAGAGTCTAGAGGTCAATTGTTTCACTCCTATTCGACCAAACAACAAACGTCACCATCTTTAAAGTACCCTGATAGGTCTGCGACTACCGGGCAGCCTTAGCTAACCACTTGGCTGTTGCGTGATACAGTGATTTGCACAGGTATGGGCCTTCGTGGAAGTCCTTCCTTATGCACCTTCGGTAAGCCGTAGAGTCTCGGGATCACTGTCCCTGTGGAACGAATATATTCAAACGTGGCGGAGTCAATCAGGTTTTCCTGTTTAAAAAGCGCCGTAGAAGCTTAGTAACTGTCTTTCCTATCGCTGCAGTTTTGTCATTTTCATTATCCATTTTCCGGAACTTCGAGCGATCGCTAAGAATGGCGTTCATCTTGTCGATTTAATCAGTTCTCTCCATCAATACGATCCCTGCCTCTTATCAGGCCTTAAAAGGAGCACATTCTCATTTTGTTTGAGAGCTTTGAGAGCATCTAGGCGGTCATTTTTCAGCAAATACCTAAGCTTAGGTTTGTATTTCAGATATAAATAAATAAGTAAATCTTTTATTCTCAACAAGGTGAGGCACGCCTTTACAGGCAAGATCAATTTGACATAATGATGCATGATTTAGAATGTGCAAAAATCCGATATGTTTGTCATAGCAGTTTGTATTTGTGTAGGGGGTAGGTATGTATGTCATTGTGTGTGTATGTGTATGTAGCTGTGTATTTTGTGCTTGTAGTTGTACTGCTCCAATCTTCAGTGTTTGATATCGTCATCAGTATGCGAGTAGGAGATTGGTGTCCGTGGGTTGGATAAAATTATCCGGATATCCACGGGGCAGTGACTTTATTTTGTGGCGAGTCACGACCGCCACGTCACAGTGTTGTTAAGCAGACATTTGTGGCTTTTTATAGGGAGAACGCTTGCCAGGCGACACCCACCACGTCCTGGAACACTGCCGCCGAACTATTTGCTGGGACGGGTTAAACCCGAATTACCCAGCTGACACCACGAGGAGGTTGTTCGGCTATCCAGCCAATGGGAGACATAATACGTGCTTGCTCATGCTGCCAATTTGGCGTAAGGAGGTTTCACTAGCACGGGGGCGAGATGAAATCTGTGTGTGGTAATGAGAAGCGGATTGGTGGTTTTTGTTGACGCTGAAACGCTTGCAGGCTGTTGGAAGAGAAGCTTTGAAGGCTTACACGAGCGTGATGACAACTAATTGAGTAGTGATAGAAAGCGGATTGGTTGATTGTGTTGAAACTGCAACCCGTTTGGAAGAGAAGCTTTGTAGGCTTACGGGTTGACTACACGGTTGCCTTCCTTGCTCGCTTGCCTATCTGGCCACACGTGATGCGGTATGCATAGTGTAATCGTGCCAGTGCGAGCAATCTGGAGAATCGATAGGTGTGCGACTTCGCTCAGGATGTGCATGTGATTGTTAAGGCAGTGTGAGGTAATCGGAAACAATGCAATAATTCGTATGAAGGAGGCAAAGCTAGAACTTGGCAAATAGAAATTTTAAAAAGCTTTACAGCTACAAATTTCTCGTGCTGTGTTTTTTCAGTCGGCCGTACACTCATGTGAATAGCGTAGATAGGTATTGCTTATGTAGTCGGCGCATTGTATACTAAGGTCAAGTTCGTTGTGTAGGTAAGATCATCAGTGGATCTGTAGTCATTGTTCCAAAGAGGAGGGTTCCTAGTGTGGCGGTGACACGACATTAGTGAGTGTTCGTTCGTCGCCACACCCGTGGGCCACTTCGGTAATCAGTTACCGCTACAGGACCCATGGACCTGTCGTTATGTTAAGGTCGTAAGATGCATGTCAATCCTGCGTTTCAACATGATATTTACACTTCACTTCCAAGTGATGGATAAGCTTTAAATCTCAAGCGACCCTACGGCCCTGATATGAGCTGCCTACGAGCATTGCATACGCATAGTAAGCATAGAGTTTGGAGCAATTTTCCTCCTTCAACAATGTCTCCGGAATTACCTACTTTCCAATGACAACATGTTTCCCAGTAGTTACTAAGTCGCTAACAACCTATGTCACGGCGTGCACACATGAATGCTTCCAAGACTAGCTGAAACAGTGATCCATAGCAGGTTTAGTGGGCGCGGTTGCCTTTGTAAATGATTGCAAACACATTGTAGGAAGGCCCGTGGGTGAGACAACCGTGTTTGTCTGTTCCAAGTACTCATCTGAAGTACCAGAGTGAAATGCCTGCGTCGCCACTAGTCATAAGTCTTGCAGGACGATGTGGCATGTATAAACACCGTAGTCATTGTAGCCCCTTTAAATGTTTCTTTGTTGAATGATGCCAATTTCATTAGGATAGCATGCCAGTCCATTGGCGTAACAGGGAGGTTCCATCTGCATTGACTGTGCTTCTAATGGTTCCATTTGGAGAGCCACATGTTAAAGCGTCTAAACACGTATAGGCGATCATATGAAAGTGAAATGTAATTACCCTAAGAATATATAGGTGCCCATGTCATTTACGTAACAAGATCCATAGAGCCACTGAAGCGATTACTAATTAACAAAGTCGCCCATGGGTGTGGAGACAAACGAACACTGACTAACCTCGTGTCTACGCCACACGTTCAATCCTATTACTTTCTGTTGAGTCACCAACTGTGATCGAATTAAACAACCTTAGTATTTGCGTTGTTCAGCTTCAGGTTTGTCTACTAACTTCAATGGGAACAATGTCCTCCATGGTCTTCGCAATAACAATCGTACAAAATTGTCTAACCGCCTAGCAGCCATTGTTGAATTGCGGAACACCAGTTAGATGAGTGCCTTTCTACGCCACCATGGGCGACCATATTGAAGGGAAACCTAATTATCCTATGAATTCTTAGGTTACTATAACTTTTACATAACGCCATACATGGAGACACTGAAGCGATAACTGATTAACATTTCGCCTATGGGTGTGGAGGTAAACGAACACTCATTAACGCCGTGTCAACGCCACACTTGCAATCCTATTACTTTTTGTTGAGTCACCAACTGTGATCGAATTAAGCAACCGTAGTATTTTAATTGTTCAGCTTCAGGTTGGTCTACTAACTTCTATGGGAGCTTTGTCCCCCATGATCTTCGCAATGACATTCGCACACGATTGTCTAACCGCCTAGCAGCCATTGCTGTACTTGGGAATACCAGTTAGGTGGTTGCCTGTCTACGCCACCATGGTTAGGCCGCTGAATAAGCCACCATTAGGTAGCCGCCAGCGATCACCATAGACCGCTTCATGTGCTGGTTCGTATGTCTGTCCACACTGGTTAAGTCTTAAGCTTTGGATAATGTGTTAGCTAGGATCTCCTCCTTTGACAGACAGCACAATTTGCTTATTGGTCGGTTTCAGGTTGGAGACCAATCATCGAGGTTTACTTCAGAGGGGCATCAAGGCAGAACAGAAGGTGGTGCTCGATCACTTTCATTGGACTGTCTATCGCTTATGCTGGCGGCTTCTAACCGGTGTCCCATTGGTTTACGTCCCATGACCAATGAGAGTGTCAAGGACGCCAAATCAGCGTTCTTAGCCTCGTTAACTTGAAAGTACTGCACGCGATTTCGAAAATGCACCACGCTAAAAGCTTGGTACAATACGCTAACATGCGTGTAAAATGGTATAATTGTCTTGAATAATTGCGGGGACAGCTAATGTTTAGACCAAGTGAGAGCACCTCAAGCGATGTCTTATCCAAGTGAAACAACGTAAAATTGTGAACATACCTTTCCGGTACGGGGGTAGTAAAGTGTTTTCCTTAGTTGTATAAACCTGCCGCGGCAATGAGGCTAAGCGTTTCTCTTCTTGCTTTGTGCCTATTCGTTGAACAAAGGTATCGAATTGTTTGCGTTCCTCTGCGTCTAGTTTGTCCAATGTGAAGGAATACGCGCAGTGATTACATTCCAGCTCATCAAGTTTAGAGGCAATTGTTTCACGCTCATTCAACATTTGCCGTTTCAGCGACATATTATTTGGATTAATCCGATTTCTACGGCGTATTTTGTAGAAGTGTTTAGGATATTCGAAACGCGAAACACATTCATCAAGGAACCGCATTGTTACTTTCGCTAACGCAAGTTTTGCGCAGAACTTAACGCACTTGTTAAGCCCTTTGAGCACAGCAGGGTCCTTGGATTGTTTCAAGTGAAAAATTCGAATATGGTCAGTGGTTTGCAGAGGACCTCACCTCTATCCTTAAATAGTGCATGTGGGAGCGAATCCGGTCCAGCGACAAGCAAACCATTGAGAGCTCTAATCGCGTTTCGGATCTCGGTCTTCGACGGAGGCTCTAAACTAACCGTCCATGGCTCGTCCTGCATCACCTGAGTAGGAAGAGGTCCGGGAGCAGGAGGCCACCTCAACTGCTCTTGAAGGTGTTCCGCCCAACGAGCCATACGGCGATTCTTATTGTGTATCAGCGCACCCGCGCTGTCTGTTTGTCTCACTGACTCCTGGTTTTCTGGGACCAGTGGTGCGGATTAGCTGGAAGAGCTGGTGATAATTGCCTAGTGCTCTTGCCTCCTCCATTTCTTGAGCCCGACTGGTTCACCAGACTTCCTTGTCAGCACGCAGGCTCCGCTTTAGTTCACGTCTAATAACCCGTCTGGTCACATTGTGTTCAGAGCCAGCCGGGAGGTGTCTTCTAGATTCCAACTGGTTCACCGACCTCTCGGATATCCAGTGACTGGTGCGGTGACGATTGATAGTACCACAAGCGGATGCTCCTGCGTCGTGCATTGCAGCCGAGATTCTATTCCACTGAAGCTCAGCGTCATTAGGACAAGACAGCAGAAGTTCGGTATGCAGTGCGTCTTGATAGCCTTGCCTGACCGAGGGATGAGACAATTTCTCAGTTGCCAATCTTAGGGGACGCTTAGTGCGCCTCCCGGTAAAGTTCATGGAGAAACGACAACCTACCAAGGCATGATCACAGTCGACACGTACGCCAATACGAGCGGCAATCCAGGATGGAATCACGCCACCTGTAATTTATGGCAATGTGATCCATTTGGGTCCTTCGCTGGCCAGCTACAGGACGTCAAGTGGCAATTCGGCGCCCACTGTGTCTAAAAACAGGGCTACTAAGAAACAACTGGTGCTCCGCACACAGTTGTAGCAGACGCTCACCGTTGTCAGTCTGTTCCGAGTTAGTTCCACACTTACCACCT